CTGTGTGGTGCTGAGTTGCTGGCTGGGGCTAAACCACAACATGGATGCATTTCTGCATGTGGCCTCTGATTTAGGTATGCGGCAATCTGTGATCAACAGGGGCATAAAAAACCATCATTTATGGATGATGAAAATCACCACAAAAATGCCACCAGGCAATGCAGCTTATCAGCAGAATACCAGTACTGACATTTGATTCAGTAAACAGTAGTCACTCCATCTACTGGAAAGAAGAAGGCAGTCCATTTCTCTTTCAAAATGCAATGCAAGATCACAGTATACAAGATACTCAACTAAGTGAGTGATTCTGTTGTGGATTTTAGTCTTGAAAACTGTTTGGCTTTACCACTAGCTCTCCACATTTTGCTTTGGCAGCTACTGAGCTGAGCAGATAAAGGGTTCCTTTGTACAACATAAATATTTCTTTCACAAACTACTACAGAAACATTCAAGTACGTGTTTTATTGAGCTGAGAACCTGTATTTCTCATAATAAGCAATGTCATTATTTGCAGCACTTATATGTTACTAATAAGTTAAGAATCCCCTTTGCCAAAAACTATTATTTAAAACCGCCATATTTTAAGAACAGTAAGTCAGAATAATGGCATCATGTTACTGTAAAGCATTGACCTTCACAAATTAAGGCACTTACCAGAGAACTGTTTACAGTGTTATCTGTCGTACAAGCAGCAAAATAACCTTCAGCATCTGCAAACTAATTACAGAACCTTAAATGTAATAATCTATCAAGGCAGAGTTATTAGTAACTGAAATTTTTGGAAGTAAGTTTTCTAATGCCTTTTTCCATAATTCTATCACAATTCCCTCTCTCCCTCCAGCCCTCCTCCCCAGTAAACAAGAGGGCTTACAAGTTCAGTAAATAATTTCAGTAATTCCTTGTACCTCTTGGAGAACCCCACTGAATTCAACTAACCAGGTATCAACGCAGGATCAGGCTGTTAGAATGCTAAAACCTGTAAAGTTCAGTCTTAGCGAGACATGCTTCACTAAATGATTGTGCATGTATTAACAACAAGCCTCTTGCTTCTTCATTTTACTGAGGCAAAGTTCCTTTGCATAAAAACCTGGAACTCAGCCTTAGTTTTAACAAGACTTAAATTAGGATGAGGTCAAGTATCACTTTTCCTCTTCCTTTCTGCATCTTAACAAGCACTACTACCCCTGTTCCCTAACCCACAGCTTGCTGTTCTACCATGCTGGCAAGAAATCTACTAAAACAAAGCCTCCAATGTGGAAGAGGGCTTAAAAGTAAGATATGAGTGTACACCTAAGCAATCATGATTGAAATAAAAATCTATAAATGGATAATTTTTGTTCCAGATTAATAAACACAAGACATTTTAAAAGGCACTTGTAGTAATTATACAGTTGAATATTTAACTAAACTCCTTGGGGGCAGGGAAATCTTCTATACCTGCACGCTACACTCCTGTCTCCATACTGTTCTTCTGAAATGGGCTAAGATCAAAACTAATGGCTATTTCCTACAAATTATTAAAAAAATTACTTCTTATAGGATTAGAAAGAAAAAATAATGAGATTCCAGTAGTGGTGCCATGACTGCCACACACAAAATGTGACAGATTGAGCACTCTTACTCATTGCTGTCCAGTTCATGTGAGTTCATATTCTCTCTTTCTTTGACATAGCACTGCATGAGATTCAGTTGGTCAATATACCCACTACAATTCACACTAGGCAATAGTCCCTTATTCTACTCATCTGCTCAGATTAATAAATAATAATTTGGTCAGTATAATTGCTCTGTACAACTAACCATCCTTTCACACTTTCATCATCCTTATTTGTCATTTCTGCTGGTAAACAATCTGAAGATCCTGAACAGCATCAAGTCTGACATGTGCCATACTATGCAGACACTTGGTATTAAAGGCTGATCTAACAAAAATTATTTCATGTTATCAGCCAACTCCAGACATTCTGTTTAACAAAAGATTTAAAAAAAAAAAAAAAAAAAATCCAAAAGGTTTAGGTTTTTGGGCCTTTTTTGGTGTTTTGTTTGGTTTTTTTAATAAAAATAATTTGGCTTAACATCATGTAACACTTCAATTAAAGTATGTTACGCCTACAACTGCCACTATCAGTGAAGCCTAATATATCCAGAAGAATTGGAGTCAGTTGCTTTCATACAAGCTATTTTCGATAAAGACATGTTGATTAACAGCATGTTCTTGGATCACATTTTCTGTTATTTTAATGTGAGATCAATATCAGGCCAAATGCCTTACTGCTTCCTGAGGCCTGCTGTTTAGCATTCTGAAACACTGGCACAGAACAAGGACTCTTCCCAGCATCTCTTAATTTCCTTGGAAAAAAGTATGTATTTCTGTAATATGACAATAATTTTAGACTCTAGCACCTACTCTATACCTAACTATACCTAGCTCTAGAATGGGCAACAGAAGGTCACTCGGGCATAAAGGCTGTAAAAATGCAATATTAACAACAACAAAAACAAAATACTAGCACTTTTCCTAAACATAACTTTGAAAACTTCAAAACCTCATAGCAACCAGTTCATAGTTCTGCCAGAGACAAAAAGAGTCAGTAATAAAAATCAACTACAAAGTTCAAATACTGATTCCATTGGTTACATATGCTGGGAAAGTAAAAAGGAAAAACCAATTAACAGTGGTGAGGCTCATAAGCTATTCTTAAAAAGAATTATCCTCTGCAACTGTCCAAGACAAAATACCAGGCTAGATGGGCCAATGGTCTGGCCCAGTAAAGCATTTATTATTCCTGACACATTTCACATTGCTTTTTCCTTTCTTTTCTTCCTCTCACAAGACTACTGTTATGATTGCCATGTCTTCCTGTGCCACGGTTCAGCTTATAATTGCTTTTCTGAAAGCACTATTTCACCAACATGTAAACTTTGCTTTTCTCTATTTCCTATTTTTTTTTCTGTACAAACTTCAACAAGTATCAAAACATTTACAGAGTTAAAATACTTACAAAAGCTGCATGCCTTCCACGAAACCCACGAGTACACTGTTGCCTCCATGGTTTCCAAACAATAAATCCCAAGAGGTATAGAACAAACATGGATGTTTTTGCAAATGTACTGAAAAAAGGTTTGTTGTACTTTGTAAAAACATACTGTGGAAACAAAACAATTGCAGTAACCAAAATTACCAATTAGGTGAGAATTCACAAGATGAACAAACAGGTTTAAGTATATAGTCCAAAACAGTCTGGTTCCCAAAATGACAGTGCTGCGAGTATTGGCACGTATGAGCAAAAGACACAAGTAGCCCTACCTATTCTGGGGGTACCCTCTCCCAAGCTATCTGAGCCATTTTGTAAAATACAATGCCACTGGAGAAAAGCTACTTATTACTTGTATCTAACCAAGCAACATATTGATATGCCACTGAACTCAAATAGGACTGAAAATACGTTTACACACAAATATTTTCTAAATGAAAGACCACTTTTATAAGCAATAGCATAGTAACCACAAATCAGAGACGATTACTTTGATTAAGTAACATTTCAGTATCAAGTGATTCCACCAGCTCATTGGAAAAAACATTTTATTAATATAACAGCATGTTAAGCACAAACATTTTTATATGCCTAGTTTCAAAACTGATATACAACCTAACAACTTAATGACAGTTCAGAAACCTGACAAGAATTTAGTAAAAACTCAATTTCCATTGCTAAAGCTCTGTTTTAAGTCCTAAAACTTAACATGAAGTAAATACCAGATCCATTTCAAGATGATGAATATGTGAACCAGATTATGACAAACTTGTCTGCAATTATAGGACTTAAACTCCATGACCCAAGTCCTTTGGTCCTAGACTTCAGATGTTCTTAACTATAATCTACCGTAACACCTAGCCTGCAATGTAACAGCTCATTTACTACTTCTCGGGAAACATACGGGCATTATTTTAATCAACACGGCAATAAACAAAATGAACTCCCTAATTACAGTACACAGTTATGAGCTTATGTTGTTTAATTTTAAATTCATCAATAACACTTTCTATCTTGAAAGTAACAGTCACCGAGTTGAAATTGTTTGTTACTTTTAGTGGATACAGGTTAGTCCACTAACCCAAAGGGTATCGTCTTCCTTGTACTGAAAAGGTGGTTAAACATTACACTGGAACACCCACTGAGTGTTTGAGTGACCATGTTTCTGCTGCATCTTTCTCTTAAACAGGCTTTTATTTTCCTTTTAAGATGCATGGAACAATACTTACAGAAGTGAGTTCTGAAGAGGCAACCCATATCACGTCAACGAGGAGAAGAATGACAATTCCTAGAGCCATTCGCCTACGCTGAGTGGATGAACTGCTCTGGGAGCTCATTCGATTCATGACAAAAACCCACACCATTTGTAACCTATTCAAGATTGATAAAGGAATAAAACCCAGAAGATTACAAACAGTGACCAAAAAAACCCCCGAAAAACAAAACAACAAACCCACACAACAAAAGAAAAACTCCAGACAGCGGGGGCAAGTGTTTCATATATATGAAATAGACCCAATATGCCAGGAAACACATGCTTATGTTTGTTAAAAAGCAGATCTTTGACAGATCTGGCATGAGATTTTCAGAGACATTAGGGGCAATTAGAAAGTAAATCTCAGCTTCTCAAGAATTTATCAACTGTTCTACAACTGAAGTGAATATAAGTAGGTAAAACATACAATGCCTTTTTGGAATTTCTATGCTACAAATTCTGCAAAATTTGAAACCACTATGTTTTGGTAAATTCAGATACTCTAAGCTGACAGTAGAAATTAGTTAGATGTGTTGCATCAAACACAATTCTACTAAAGATAGTCAGAAACATGTTTAAACTTAAGCATTCAACAAACATTTCCAAAGACATAGCAACACATTTGGGTAAATTATGATCCCTCAAAGCATAAAGTGATTCAAGAAAAAAACACCCCACAGAATATTTAATTGTAAGCTTACAAAATTAGATTACACATGCACTTGAACTCAAAAAAATGTATATCTATTTGGTAATTTATGAAATACAGGCATGCACCAATTCTAGTGAAAACCTATCAAACTAAGAGCAAGCATACAATATATGCAACAGAAAGCTTTGCCTACTAAAAAACCCCAAAACATTGATAATGATTTTGACTGTACCCCAGTATGTTACACACAGAAATAGTCAATTAAGAACACTTCATATTCTGAGAAGTCAAAACTACAGCAGTAAACTAGCTTTAAGCTTGTAATCTAGCACAAAAGTCATGCAGACTTGCCAGAAATGACAGCATAAACAAGCTTGGACTTTGACACACACAAACCTATTTTCCTTTTCCCTATACATGCCTCACGGCTCCTAGAGGTCTTTGTTCAAGGTAGTAATAGAGAGCAATTAAGCAATTCTAGTGAATTACAGTAAAAGCACAGGTGGCTTTAAATGCCTATAGCCAACTGCTTTTACACACTGGAAGAATAAGAGTATACCACTCAACAGAAAATTCTGAAGATATGGCTTGAGCTGGAGAAATTCATTTTCGGAAGACTATCTGCAGTTAAAACATTCAAATTTATGCAGGAGACAAGCACTACAGCAGTGTGTAAATAGATCATGACCAACCTTCTTTCTTTTTCCTTCAGCAGGCAGAGTACTTCTGCTTTATTCAATGCACAGAGTAAACACAAGAGAGCAGAACTGGTATTGTTTGGGTTGGCCAAAAAAGTGGTACATTGTGACTTTAGAGGGCTTGACTTTGCACAACTTGCACTAAAAACAAGTATGAACATTACTGAAAACACTAAAGTTATGTTTAGAGATCAGTAAAGTACTTTCCAAAAAAAAAGAAATGCAAGGCAAACAAGCTTTTAAGTGTTGCTTGTGTTTTAACTCAAAAAAAAAATTACGAGATCCACTGGACCTACTCCAAGTGCTAATCATGAGCACACCAGACCTACGTGTGTTCTTATATCCACTAATGCTACTAGAAGGGGATTCAGATTTGTGATGTAGCTTTACGACTACCCATTAGAAGACCTAAATTTAGGAAAACCTTCAATTTTATGATTAAAAAGCTTCAAATCTAAGTGACAGGGACTGATGTCTCATTCATCGGTCTGCTCATACCAGAATCTTCTACACACTCCCTAATGAACCTCAGTAAGATATGTAGATGGTAGTTCTATGATTAACATTAACTTATTTATGTATATATTTTAAGAACCAATTTGTTAAGAGTTAATTTGCTACAGATTATGTAACATACCTTGCTATTTATTGTCATAAACTCACTCGCTATCTTTCAGAGAACTCCTCAAAGGAACTGAAATCTAATTTACCCTCACAGAGCAGGTCCTGACTCTCCCAGTAAATAGAGGTGATCTGCTTTGCTAATCCAGTTTGGTATATTTAAATTACACTTTGTTTTCTCCACATGTGTCAACATACACTTACTGTCTTTTCATTATTTACAAATTATTTATGAAAGAGACAGTGCCACAACACTACACAAATGTAGTGAGGAAGCTACACTTCTTTTTTCCAGACTAGCCTATTCCTCAGATTAATGATTTGAATGCCTAGGTATGCACAAGTGCATTTGAGATCACGACACTGTTTCCTGCCTTTGACTCATGCCTCTCCTTTGCAATACAGTCTCTGCCATGTTCAAATCGTGGCTCTTTTTCCTCCATTTCTCAAAGGGCTTCTTTCCAAAGAAAAATCAACAGGCAGAGTTCCTGAAGTATAATTATACCAAAAGATCTATGCTGATATATACCATGTGTGGGCATCAGTTCTGGATAATTACTGTGCTTTTCTGATAAAATGGTGGGATTGACAAAAGAAAGCAGAAGTCTGGAAGTAGGGAGGGGCAAAGTTAGGAAAGACTCAGCAAGGAACTGCAGTTTTTATTTTATATGGAATAAAGGAGAAAACATTTGTTCTCTAAGAGAGAATAAAAAGGGATATTATCTTAAACTTGAGTAAGCAAACAGAAAGGTTTTCATGCTTGAAAGCTTATAAGGGTTTTTTCAGGTTTTATGAATTGGTCTAACAGATACTACATATTATACTCTACAAACTTTGCCTTCATTTTATTATGACTAATAGCCTACAAGCCTTTATATTAAGTTATATTATATACAGCCTAGAAATTGCTCATGTGTTTGTATAATATGCAGCAAAAATGGAAGCTGGGCATAGAAGAGTTCCAAAGGAACTAGACAGAAGAAATCTCATTCCTTGTCAGGCTCCAGCACAACACATGAACAGTGAGTGGTAAGGTATACCAGAAATGGAAAGCAATCCAGCCTTCCACCAGTTATGTGCTGCAGGTAGGAGGGGAAGAGGAAGCTGGAGACAGGAAGGAATCGCAGTAGCCTGATCAATTTGACATCTCTACATCAGCTGCTTGCATCCCTAGCTCTTCCGTTCTCACCACAAACTGCTTCAAAGCATATAGCACATACACACCGTGCACAGAGATCACACACAGGTGTTGTGCACATATGGTAGTTGCTTAATATTGTACTCAATTTGTCTACATTACACTTGTACAAACCTATTTAAGATCCCTCAGCAGGAGAGAAGTAAAGGATGATAGAATATCTAGCACTTCTCAGATACAAGGTTACATATGAAGTTATTCAGAGTATAAGTACACGTTGTACCATTTCTTTTCTACCTATGATAAGTAGATTTAAAATTCTAATTAAAAAACCCATACTTATGTCTTCAAGCTTTTATATGTTACAGTAATAGCAGCCTGTAACAAAGTGTTTAACATTTCTGTGTGCCTAATATAGCCCTTTGCTTGGTTCTTCCTTAACAAGAAAAAAAGCTTACCAAGAAAGGGTGACTACAAAGTCTTCACCATGCAGCAGGATGCCCCTTCAAGCTAGTTAATTGACTAAAAAAATTACAAAGCGGCAATACTAAAATGCCTATAATGTTCAGCAGAACAACAGAACCCTATTGAAACTTAATATCTAAGTTTTAGGACAGAATTAAAACCTGTAAAGCTTCACACAGAATGCAAAGACAGATAGAAATTACTATTTTGAGAAGTTTTAGACAAGACACGTTATCCCACTTATTGACAAAGTATCAGTATTCATGAACTTGTAATAAAATACAATTCCACACATTTCTTTATGTTCGGCTTCTGTACATTGACGATAATATGCTCTGATAAAAATGAACACAGAAAGTACAAGATTTACTTTTCTCATACATACCTTCCACAATAACTGTAAAAAAACCAACAAAAAGTGCTAACAAACTCCACACATCATGTCAAAGTGAAGATAGTCTCCTAAAAAGAAAAAAAAAAAGCAAAGTTTGAAAAATTGTGTGCATGTATATTATGCACTTATCTTTGCAAAACATTTTCTAAAATTTCACGTTCCACAAGCATCTGCCGCAGCTCAAGTCCTAAATGTTGGGGACATACAGATATAGAACCTTAAGAATCGAACCACATCAAAAATGCCAGCAGGACAGCAATGAATTACAAGAAAACAGGATCATTTACTATTTTTGATATTTCAGAGAACACTATCTCTCCCTTATTAACTGAATATAAAAAGTTCACATGAGAAAGAAGAACCCAATAATGATTAAGTCTAATTTCTTAAGCTATGCAGAGAAAGACCCAATTTCTTAAGCCTACATTCCCAAGCAAAGAATTTAAATGTTAGAATTAGGAAGATAATAGAAGACCATATAGGCTTTTTGGCCTTAAAATAATCTAGAAAGATAAGACACCCCTACATTATTTGTTGTGAAAGCCCAGTATCTTTCCTTAATTTGATACAGTGTTATTACTGTATTTTAAAAAAAAAAAAAAAAACCTTACCTAAAACTTTTTTTTTATTTGAATCGCAGCTCCTATAAAGACATTCAATAAAACCCACTTTAAAATTGTTATATAGGAAAAAAAAACATACATAAGGGACTTTGGAAAAATGTTACACGAGACCAATCACAAGCCCATCTAACCTGCAACTATTTACAAATCCAGATGTTGGCAAGTATATGGTGCTCCAAAAGAAGGCACAACAAAACTGGAACTGACACCAAGAATAATAAAGCTGTAAGTTTTATTGCCTGGAAGTGCTCAAATTTTGTTCTTTTCTTATTCATGTGAAACCTTGCTAAGCTCTGTTTTAGGGATATCCTATATCAACAGGACTCATACCCTATATTAATGAGTCACAAATTAGTGCACAGAACAGAAGTAACAGTAAAGGCGTAACTAAATACTTACCCTGAATTTTGCCTTTGAGTACCTGTCAAGCATGGCTAAAAGTTTATAAACTGTGAATAGGAGGTAAAAAGGTAAACTGATGCTTTTCACCTATTGCAAATTAGATTAAGAGGTAGACTATAAAGATGGACCACACAAGCCTATGATTCAGCCCCCACAAACTCATCAAGATTTACACGCTGCTTAGCGTCCAGCAAGTTCAAGTCCTTTACCACACAGTTTACCAAATGACTGTAGCTGGTTAAAAAAAAAAAAAAATACTGGAGATATAGTTTTAAGACATGGGCATGTAGTTATCCACCTTCTATACCACAAAGCCTACACTCGCTGCAGATCCTGAACACCTATTTAATTCAGTGTCCTCACATACAAGCAGTAGCTGCTGGTCGTATTTTTCTTACACTACCAACCTAATTAGAGATTAAGATCAGTATCTCAGATAACCAAGACTTAAACCAGAAGGCTTTTATCCACACAAAGCTTGAACAGTTTGTGCATGCCTAATTTATGCACCCAAAAGAACTGAATATAACAATAACAAAGATAAATAGAAAGCAAAAAAGATGCTTAAAAATTCTTCCCTGCATGTACACTAAACCAAATATCACTAAGAGAAAGGCACTATTCAGTTGCTTGCCTTCGGCCCCTACTTAATCTATATTAGCTATACTCAAGTAACCAGGTGTAGAACTTGCACCTAAATTGGTTATTATGCAAGATATATCTCATACCCTTTATCAGCATGCAAGATCTGCTGTGGGCTGTAGTCCTGACTGGAGCTGATCACACAGAACCCTGTTCAATACTTATTACCAATAATTAACCCATTTCAGGATAAGGATAAAAGTTTAGTGTATTAAGATAACACCTGACACCTAAAACAAGAACTGTACAAGACACGTCTCTCTAAGAACATGGCTTTACCCTTACAAAACACTTAATTAATCAAGTGTACAGACTTATGATAAATTTAAGCCACCAGAAGACATATAGGCTGAAATAGAAATGATGGTTTAAAAGTAAATACGATATTCTACTCCATTAAATACAGTAGAAACTTCAGCATATATTTTCCTTTTGTTTCCATTATTAGGAAATAAATATGCTTTCCACATGGTGTAACTTTAAATATACGAGTTGAAATTTGACATTTGGAGGAATATTTATTTAAAAGGCATTTCTTAATATCATTATAATTTTCAAATACCATGGAGATCTTTTTAAGTCTTTTTTTTAAATATTATTTACCATTTTAACAGTGTTAGAGTTGGTGTTGTCATCTTGCGGAACCATTTTTCAGCCAGTTACATGAAGATCTTCTGCAAAAAAGCCACCAAAAAGACCATACTTAACTTTCCTTATCATGACACTGTATTTTGTTTTTAAAATGTTACAGTATCCTAGATCACTTAGGCTGAGTCACCACTTTATGATACGCAAAAAAAGATAAAAAACAGTATCATTATGTAGTCTACAATGTATGTTCACGTAGCTGATTACACTAAAGCCAACAGGCTCAATAGCTCGTCCAACTCTACTGTTCTCCACATGCAGTAAATGACTTCTGAGGACAGGATATATAACTCCACCACTGACACTTAATGTGCAATCTTATTTCTATAGCACTAAATGTTTCTTTGTGCAGATTATCACTTTTTTCATGCAAAAAGTTCCCCCCTAAAAGAGAAAATCATAAGAAGTTCACAAAATATGAAATAGCTTTTATTGTATTGACAATTAGGGAAGAGAACATTACAGGAACTGCCAAATCATTGCAAAACAGGCGCATTGCTTCTAGTTGTTCTATGAAGAAAACGCGCACACCCCCCAAAAAATACATAATAACAAGAATAACAAGAGACCCAGAACGGCAGCTCAGTCACAAACCATGGTGCAAGCAAGTCAGCTTGAAATTCTTCCTTGTATTTACTCAAGATTATTTCATATACCATTTGAAAGACAACGTACCAAGATAAGGTTTGCATACAGAAGAAATGGTTTTAGTTTTTCCAGTTATACCAGCTGCTCCATTAATACAAGTTCTGGGATAAAGCCCCTCCCCCCTTAACATGTGCTGTCATCAGGTGATTCTCATTTCACATTTGATTACTTTCGAAATAAGACAAACAGAGACACTGCACTGACTCTTAACCAGAAAAAAAGCTGAAAGTAAACAGACAGATGTTTTACACCCATCCTTTTAAATCTGGAGAAGTACATTAAAGCAACGTTAATTTAACACAACTCTGACCTCCACTCCACTTTCAAGGGGTATCACAGGATGAGAGCAAAACCAAGAATCTTCAGAAAAGATGGAAAGGTGAGCCTTATGCAACATGACAATTACATTCACTACAGCCCTGTAATCTTTACGCAAGGGAAGTTTCCTGTAGAATATAGTGAAGCAAACAACCCAAAAAAAGAAACTGAAGCCAAGTTTTTCACACCAGTACCGAGTACTGCAAGTAGAGACCACTGTTCCTAGCTAAATAAAAAGTTATACAAGACCAAAGTTTGCAGAGAAAACACAGTAATTTTAGTACCAACATAAGAGAATTTAGCTTAACATAAAGAGATGTTTCAGGAATCTGGCAGGGCGCAACCTAACAGTCATACTATCAAACTGTCATGGCCCAGATGGATCCTGGTATCTAAGGAATAAAAGCAACACTTGGAAAAGTTTCCTATTCAGCACTTACGCAAAATTCATGAAACAAAGTTTCAAACAAATTTTCTTATATAGAAATGGTAATGGACAATATAACGGTAATGCAGAATATTAATCTATTGCATACTTTGGAGTCTTTACCAGCTACCTGAGTATCTAAGCACATACTTCTCAGTGCTACTTTCAGGTTAGCAGAGTGGAAGTTGACGAGCGGAACTGACACTGCCCTTCTTATGCTCTTCCAATAGCATTAGAAGAAAAAACTTCATGTTAAGCTGCCAAGGCCTCTGTGTTACCATGTACAGAGCAATCTCTTAGCCACCAGTAGCTATACACTGAATATTACCTAAGAATGACAAGTGACATCCATTTCACGTGCTACCCATCTAATCTTGTCTAATGCAAGATCTAAACATATCACGCTTTGTCACAGGATAAACAGCCACGGATCTCCGATAAGAACAAGCACAGCAGCCTTCAAAACTACATATCACTCTTGTATCTGAAAGCTGAGCCTGCCAGGTATCCGAGAAATCGGTAAAATTGGAGAAGATTCAGAAACGTGCTTTCAGAGCGAATGGGGTCTTCTCCTCTCCTGCCTGCCGACAGATATCTTCGGGGAAAAGCGGCAGGAACAAAGAAGAGAAGGAAATGAGTAAACCTCCTCACACTCAGGAAAAAAGTGGATGCCTGAGGAGAGAGAAATACGGCTCAAGCCCTGGGGATCACAGCGGAGGAAGAACGAGCATCCGTCCCGCCCGGAACGCGGCCGCTGGGGCCGCAGGGGGAAGGGGAGGCGCAGCCCGAGCAGGGGAGCACGAAGCTCCTGGCAGCCCCGGCGCACGGGGCAGCGGCT